TCAGACACTAAAGAACTGAAATCCATCATCAAATTATGTATTGAATAATTATGTWTATATGAATACTCGAAATACATTTTAATCTCGGCTGAAATAGCTATTTCAAGTGTACAATGACATTCGGCGGTCGTCGGAGTGCGACGAAAATTCTAAGACTGACAGTAATTGTGGTTAACAAATATTGATCATAGACTAGTTGAGCTCCGAGGACGATGTGTGCATGAACGCACGTGAAATTCTCAACTAAATTGCACGTGCACACTAAAATTAGTACATTTACGCYTSGACTATTTTTCACTAAATTTTACTAAATTTCACTATTTTAATTTAGTGTTGCACGGATATATTGCTTTCACTCTAGTATTCACTCATTTGCTTAAAAAASGAGTACAAGCCAAACAAATTATTATCGAAGATCTTCATTTGATACAAACAACGGTCTTTCGGGTCTTTGAAGAGTGAATATATTTTCATCAGTGAACAATAATTACCCATAGAAACTTTCGGTCRTGGCTCTAATCGACCCGACAACGTTTTTTCAAATGGATATGTATACGATGACATAACATTATTTAACAATCCAAATACACTGAATAAAATGTTCTAAAAGTCTTTATGCAGCAGTGAACATTGTTTCAATTTGTCGTATCGACGTTCTTTTATGGCACACCTGTCATGTTTAAATACAGGCAGCTGGAGCAGTATTACTAGTGAGTAGTGAGTAGTATCAGTAGTAGTAGCGGTTGGTAGAGCGATAATAATAGTTGTGTAGTAGCATTTTAATATTCTTTTATGGATTAGACTGAGTTTAGCTAGTGACCAATGAAATAAAAGCCGACATCGAATCAGGCTCAAATGATTAAGAAAAGAATCTTTCAAGCTACATTTTGATGTGTTATGCTGACCAACTGAGATGATCTGATAAAATCACACCTTTTTGACCGTTATTCGCGTCATTAGTTCAACATCTGCCTGATAGTCAGATATAGTCCATTGATCTGAATTCTCAGCCTTTTAGTATTTCATGAGCGAAGCTTGTTCTTTCAACGATATAGTTAATGTAATTGAGCATATAATAATGGCCTTCTTGGATTAACCATTGCTGCATCAACTTCAACTCGAATTAACAATGTTTAGAAAAGTCTGGCATCAAATGTTTTTACTTATTTTGTCAACTAGTTCGATAATGATTCATGCAACGGCTGACGATTCCAACATCACTCGAAAGTATAAATCAAAGGACAGTTATTCCGTCTACGACCCAATGAGCTTCATTAAAGATGGATCTTTGGAGATTTGGTTTAAGACAGAAAATGAGAACGCAATGATACTTTACGAAGACACTGGCGGCCAGGGAGATTTCATTGATGTGTTTCTAGTCAATGGCAAAGCACGAATGAGRCTGGCCTTTCCAGGGTGCAATCAGTTCAAAGAACGAACTATAAACGGGAGCTTTAACGACCGAAAATGGCACAAAGTAAAGATTACACAAAATGGCGGGAACACAACKTTTGCAGTTGATAATCTRAGCGCGGTGCCTGTTCGCTGTTTGTCGCAAATTGAATCAATGGTTTCTTTGTACACTGGATGCCTGTCTTGGGACGTGCGAGATATTACCATTCAAGACAACCAATGGGCCTTTCCTACAGCATTCTACGAATCGATGCTRTATGGGTGAGTTTGATAGTACTAAAATGCTTCGCGTGCCTGCGCCATCTATGTGATAAGCTATCAAAACTAGCTCTTAACAAAGTTCTTTCTATTCACTGATAGATATTAAGTAAAGCAAAGCCGTTTGAGGAGAGTAGAGATTTTTTGTTTCCCTGTCTGTAAATTAAAATTTGAAGTAATTGTTCAAAACTCCGTCTTCATCATTAGATGACTGGGCACGGTCGAGTAATAGCGGTTGACCAAATTATATGTTCAATGCGCTTTTTTTCTTTTGCAAAAATGAAAATAAGGGGGAGGGGGAGGGGGCTGCTACTTCCTGCAAGAAAATTGTCCATCCTTTTTTTCCCATCATGCACCCAATTACAATTATGGACAGAAAGCCGGATAACTCATTCTCGCGAAAGGATTTTGATCAAAGGTTCGTTTTCCCAAATGAATATATGAAATCATCTAGTGTGTCAGTAAGACTTTGGATTCTAATAGTTGTTTTGATAGTATTCTCTACTTATAAAGATATGAATATTGCCTCCTTCTAAGCWYTATAACTTTCTTTCATTTCTATATCTGTTCTATCATAGTGCCATGCGKTSCTCATATTCATATCTTTACATTATTCTATTACCGCAACCYAACATCTAATTCACCCTGACCTGCTCTCAGTCTGGCCTTGTTGCTCAGCTGGTAGAGCATCGGTAGTACAAATCCGAAGGTCGTGGGTTCGAAGCACAGCGAGGTCGGAAATTATTAATTTTTCCGGATTTATATTTTAGGGTCTTTCTCCCGGAATTGCCTTCTTCTAAGCACTATAACTTTCTTTCATTTCTATATCTACTTATAAAGCGTTGTTCAGAGAGACATCAAATAATTTTGTAGCAATATTCATAAGACTATCGCTTTGCTTTGCACATGAACGACCATATGCATTGTTCATAAAATACACTTGATCACTGTCAACSACGTCATAGGRTTCAATGATATTTGTTATGTAAGCGATGTTGAAAATGCTTCGCCATTGCCCGTTCCGAAATTCAAAAAGGGACTGGTGACTAGTCACA